TCCAGACTCCCACCCTTGCTCCCCACATTCACACCCCCTCTCCCCCCAGCCCTGCCTGATTCAGCCTCCCATCCCCTCCGGCTGCCAGGCCTGCACACTTTTGCCAGGGTCCTCTCGCCTCCAACCCCTGCCCATTACAGAGGCCACCACACACTCAGGAGCTTCCCACCCAGACCCCTTTAATGACCCCAGCATTAGAAAGGGCAGCATGCCTGGCGCCCATGCTCCAGGGCTGGCTCCTCCTACCCTCTCCAGCGTCCCCTTGCCGCCTCTGCTCCTGACACTGGGCTGGCCTGCCGCTCCTCCCCTGCCTGGTGCTCTCCCATCCCCCCTAGTCCACGCTCTTGACCACAGGTGTTGTGCTGGTGCCTCTGTGAAGTCTCCCTGACGCCCTGCTGCGCGGTGTCCCCCGGCAGCTCCGTCGTGCCCCAACGAGGCAGCACGCCCTGCACAGTGTTTGTCGTCAGGCCCAGCTCTCGCACTGGACCGAGAAGGCCAAGCTGACAGCGAGGCACAGCCTGCTCCCCTCAGCCTGCCATAGCACTGGGCATGTGGCCAGTCACAAATAAGTAACAAGCAAAGAGCCCATCCGTGTTTACTGCATAAGCAGATGCGTGTGGAAATAAATTAAGACCACCCAGGCGAGAGCAAGGCCGGGCTCTGAGTTCAGAGCTTGGGACCCCCCACCCTGAGACTGGCAGGGGGCGGGCACAGGTCCGGGATTGTTGTGGGGAGGGCAGGGGCCGCTGATGGAAAGTGAGATGTCCTGTGGTTGGTGAGAGGGCGTCTTTGGCGTCCTCTGGTTGGTCCTGAGTTGGAAGTGTGGGGGTGAAACCAGGGCAGTCAAGCCCCAACTGTCCCAGCAACTGGCTGCAGAGGCGGGTGGCAGCGCCCAGCTTCTCATGTGGTCGGCAGTCGGTAGCCCTGTGGGCTTGGCCCCTGACCAGACGCCTACATGCAGCTCTCGGGGCGGCGGGGGGAGATGAATGTCTTTTTCCTGGGACTGAAGGCGAAACAGGAAGGAGAAAGAAGAGGCGGCTGCGACCGTGCCAGGGTGCTGCCCGGCTGCCCAGCCCCGCTCTGTGTACGCCTCTGCTTTGGGGCTGCCGTCTGGTCTGGAAGCTGCAGCCTGGCCGCCTCACCTCTGCACAGAGGAGCCGTGGGACCTGAGGAAGGCAGGTAGGGCCGCTGAACGTGCAGGCAGCTGTCAGCCGCCGGGGACGTTTTCAGCAAGGGAGGCCCCGTCTCATGAGCCGCCCGCACGCTGTTTCCTGTGTGAGTCCCGACAGGCACACGCGGCCGAGAGCCCAGGGTCGACCCTGCAGCACTGCTGGCTCTGCCCTCGGTCGGGGTGCTCTGTGGGGATGACCCCACCTGCCAGGTGCCCGGCCCAGCCCTCCTGGGCCCCTGCAGAGGCGGGCAGAAGAGTCGGAGCAGGGGTTCTGGCACCAACCCCAGGGGCTTATCCTTAAACATGAAAGCTGGTTCTGCAGATGATTCTTGGGGATTTGTGACGTCTTTGACCAGATTTAGCACCAGGCTTTCTACTTAGCCGCTTGAGCTGCTGTGGAAACAAGCTAGATATTGATAACTGCAGGGAACTAAAGAAGTGTCTGATTCCAGAGGTTTCTAAGCAAACGCCCTGGAAGAGAGACCCCCATGTGTAAAACACTTGAAAACAATAAGCTTCCACCCGGGACAGCAGCACCCCCAGGACACGTGTGAGGTCTGCCTGTTGCCTTTGCTTTTGTCGCGGTAAAATACACTTAACATAAAGTTGACCGTTTTAACAATGCTTTTTTGAGATGGAGTCTCGCTCTGTTGCCCAGACTGGAGTGCAGTGGTGCCATCTCTACTCACTGCAGCCTCCGTCTCCAGGGTTCAAGCGATTCTCCTGCCTCAGTCTCCTGAGCAGCTGGGATTGCAGGCACCCACCACTATGCCCAGCTAATGTTTGTATTTTCAGTAGAGATGGGGTTTCACCGTGCTGGCCAGGATGGTCTCGAGCTCCTGACTTCAAGTGATCTGCCCGCCTCGGCCTCCCAAACTGTTGGGATTACAGGTGTGAGGCTCTGTGCCCAGCCCCCCATTTTAATGGTTTTTAAGTGCACGGTTCAGTGGTGTGAAGCGCATTTATACAGTTGCGGAACGGTCACTGCTTTCGTCTCCAGAACTTGATGTGTCCCCAACGTAGATTAGACCCCATTAAACACCCCTCCCCCACCCTGGCCCTGGGCACCACCGTTGCGCTGGCTGTCTCTGGGTTTGGCGACATTAGGGACCCCACACGTAGGATCGAGTGGCATTTGAGCTTCTGTGAGGGGCTTGTTCCCTCAGCACCCGGCCCTTGGCCGACTGTGCCGCCCCCGGGTCTGAGCTGCCTTGCATCTCCGGGCGACCGGCGCCCCTCTGCACACACATATCACGTTGTGTTCTTCAGCCCTGCACCTCGGGCTGTTGTGGAGGACGCCGCTGTGAATGGTGGTGACATGCGGCCTTTTACACACTGGACTTTCCCCGTGCGGGCAGCTGCCTGTCCCGGGCTGAGCGGGGCCGTTTGATCGTCGGGCACATTGTGCTCAGTTTGGAAACCAGGCCTGTGACCTTTTCAAGGCCCTGTGAAAAGGTTTGAGGCCAGGAAAGAATGTTTCCTGGTTCCAAGTACAGAAAGGATACTGCAAGTTTGAAGTTTGAAAATGTTCTGGTTGTGATTCCATTTTGCTTTTATGTAGTTACATGAAAAATTATGTTTAAAACTGGGCACAATGGCGCACACCTCAGGAGGCCGAGTTGGGAGGATCACCTGAGCCCAGGAGGTGGAGGCTGCAGTGGGCTGTGACGGCCACTGCACTCCAGCCCGGGCAGCCGAGCGGGGCCCCTTCTCTGAGACAGTGTTGACATGACTCAGCCGTCTGGGGCCGGGCTCTGGGATCAGGGACAAGGGCCACCCAAGACCTTTGACCTTTGACTTCCCGTGAGGGAAGTGAAATCCATTCCTCTGCCCCTTCCGCTGCCCCTCCAGTTCCTGACCCTCTGCGGGGACCGCCGTGTGGTGCAGCCATGCTGGGGCTTGGCTGTCCCTGCAGTGGGCATTGGGGGCAGCCCGTGGACGGGGGTGTATTTGGGGTCCTCTGGCTGGTCTTGAGTTGGAAGTGGGGTCACCGACCGAGTCCTGGCCACGTGGGGCTGGTGGATACGGAGGTGCTGCTGCAGCCAGAGCTCCTTCTCTCCCCGTGGCCGTCCACCACGAACGCACCAGGGCTCGTGTCTGCACGTGGCCCGTGCAGTGTCTGTGTGTTCATGCTCGCAGGACAAAAGTGAGTCCTGAAGCCCAACATGGAACTTCTTGGTGACCTCCTGTTAAAAGAAAAACTTTACAAAATGATTTTAACAGTTTGAGCAAAGATCATGAATTGGGCCGCACCCAGAACTGCAAGAGGGGGGCTGTTCGCTGTGGTGGGGGCAGTGCCGTCGGGCATGAGGCTCAGAGTGGGCACGCCCTGGCTGCCGACCACACCCAGGGCGATGCCGCTGCCTCATCTTCTGCCCTTGTGGCCTGGGGCTGGGCAGCAGGGGCCCCTTCAGGAGGACCTCAGGGCGAGGCCCCTGCTCCCGCTCACAGCAGGTGCTCCTGTTCAAATTCATCAGGGCACCGTCGTCCGCTGGGAAAAGGCTTCTTCAAAATCCTTTTATTTCTTCCTGTGGTTAGATGATTATTTTATTGCCGGAGTACATAGATTTATGTGACCAGGGCCGAGGCTGCAGATGAGTCATACTTCCAATTGGGGGGGAGGACTCGCTTAGTCTTGTAATGTTGAGCCAAACGGTGAATCCGACTCTATCAGACTCAGACAGAATTTCGCACCCTTATCCTTTCTGTTCCTCTCAAGATGCTTTTGAACAGCAGCTGCTTTCTTAATTAAATGGCAGCGATCTTCAGGGAGATCAGGAGCGAGTCCCTTAGACTTGAGAAGATTTTATTGCCTGTCACAGAACGCGCCTGTGCAGCACCATCTACAGCTCTCAGGGTCACACTGATCTGTGAAGGAGTCAGGCCAGTTTGTATATCTGCTCCTTCACGTGTAGATGTCAACTTCAGCCACGTGGGGACGCCGCGGCGACAGGGCAAAGCTGACTAGGACAGACCCCTCCTGGGAGCGGGCACGCGACCCGTGATGGCGGCGGTCAGGCAGCGACAAAAGCCAAAGTCCATTGTGTTAAAAAAAATCCATTTTCCACTCAGTGCTAAAAAGAAATGAGTCACTATGCCACGAAAAGCCACGGAGGAACCTTAAGTTGCCCTTTACTCAGTGAAATGAGCTGACCCGAAAAGGCTACAGACTGATTCCAACCAAACGGGGTCCTGGAAAAGGCAAAACTATGGAGACAGTGAAAAGCTCAGCTGTTGTCAGCAGCTGGGGGAGGGAGGAGCGAACAGACGGGCACCGAGGATTTCTAGGGCATCAAATCCGCTCTGCAGGATGCTGAAATGGTTCCGTGAAAACACATTCACCCAAACCCACAGCAGGCATACCTGAGCCACCCCGCCGTGAGCCATGGACTCCCAGACCCACAGCAGGACACGCCCGAGCCTCCCACAGTGAGCTGTGGACTCCAGGTGATGAGAGCGAGTCCCTGCAGGTCTATCAATGGTGACAAATGCACCACATGAGTGAAGCATGTTTATAATAGGGGAAACTGAGGCAGGGGAAAGAAGGTGGGCATATGAGAATTCTATTTTCTGCACATTTTTCGTAAACCTAAAACTGCTCTAGAAAATAAAGTCCGTTTTTTTAAAAAGTCTATCTTGCAAAAGAGCAGGAAGGGAAGGGAAGGGAGCAGGGATGTCAATGCCAGGTGCTGGGCAGGACAAGGCAGGCGTGGACACACTCCCACGGGACCCTGGGTCTCGGAGGCTGGCGTGGACACACTCCCACGGGACCCTGGGTCTCGGAGGCTGGCGTGGACACACTCCCACGGGACCCTGGGTCTCTGCAGGCACACGTGCCCGATGGCCAGCCCAGTGTGGATGCTGCTGCCACTGCTGCTGCTGCTGCTGCTGGGGTCCTTGGCGGGGCACAGGCCATGGAAGAAGCAGGTGTACCAGTCCCACAAGGTGGGTGCCGGCCTCCCCTGATGCCCCTACAGGCCTCATGTCCCGGGGCTGCCACCTTCTGTCAGTGCGCTCTCAAAGCCACATGGAGTGTCTTCCCAGGTGAAAGCCTCCCCGAGGCCACGCTCGCCTTCCTGGCCACATGCCGGCTGTGCTGCGTGCTATGGGGTGGCCAGCGCCCGGAGCAGCCCTGGGGCCACAGCCGCCAACCAGGCAGGAACCGCCACATGGGAGCCGCGCTGATGCGCGCTTGTTTTTAAAAATGTGCTCATTTTTCCTTTTTGTTGATTTATTAATTTTTTTTAGATGGAGCCTCACTCTGTCGCCCAGGCTGGAATGCAGTGGCACAATCACAGTTCACTGCAACCTCCGCCTCCCACGATTCTCCTGCCTCAGCCTCCCGAGTGGCTGAGATGACGGGCTTGTGCCACCACACCCAGTGAAACTTTGCATTTTTAGTAGAGACGGGGTTTTGCCATGTTGGCCAGGCTGGTCTCGAACTCCTGACCTCATGATCCGCCTGCCTCAGCCTCCCAAAGTGCTGGGATTGCAGGCATGAGCCACCGCGCCCGGCCAGAAAGCATACCCATTTTTAATAAAACGCTGTTATTTGTGTTGACAGGCGATGGGATTACTGTCATTACCTTAAAATTCAGAGTTAGGGTTGAAAGCAGTAATGTCAGTAGGCGCAGCCACAAGACCAGGCTCACACGCACGCGGCGCCTTCTGTGTGTGTGGCTGGAGGGTGGCTACAAACTGTGGTCGCAGGGGTAGGCCTGGCTCTCGGCTTGCCTCTGCTGGCTGTGCCGTTCTGGGCGCCTTGCTCACCCTCTCTGAGCCTCTTTCTTCCCCTGTAAGACACCGGATACTGGGCTGGCCCCAGAGCTTCGCCCAGGCTCTGTTGCTGCGTCCCTCCTCTCGGTGCCTCAGTTTACCTTCATCCACGTGGCTCATAGCAGGCCTTCCCTTTCTCGGCCCGGGCCCCCAACACAGACCCTCCAGAGCCACCGAGGTCTGGGTTTGTTCCAGAAAGTTCTCAGGGAACCCAAGTGCGAAGGGTGGTGACCCAGGGGAGCAGGGAGAGGGGAGGCCCCTCCCGAGCACGGAGCAGGTCAGGGAGCCAGTGAGCGCGTTTCAGGGCATCGGGGAGGCGTGCAGGATCAACGAGGAGTGCCAGAGCAACTGCTGTACCACCGGCAGCCTGGACCCCAGCAAGCAGTGCAACCCCAAGACCATCCTACTGAGGTGCCTGCCCTGGCGGAAGGTGCGTGCGGGGGCGGGGGGGCAGAGGAGCGAGACCACCGGCGGCCCCTCCTTCCTGCCCTGGAAGAGCCAGGGAGTGGGTGGCGGGTGCCGGGATAAGTCACCTCCTGTCCCGTAGCCCAATGGGCACAGCTGCTTCCACAACTCGGAGTGCCAGAGCCGCTGCTGCGTCCGCAGCAACCGCAGTCGGCAGAAGTTCTGCACGCCCCTGACCATCTTCCTTCAGTGCGTGCCCTGGCGCAAGGTGAGCTGCGGGCACCGGGAGGGTGAGGGCCGGTGAGCTGCGGGCACCGGGGGGGTGAGGGCGGGTGAGCTGCGGGCA